ACCAGGTTGGTAGTTCAAACTCACCAGCTGCTCCTCAGAAACCCTATACAGGTTGCTATGAGTCAGACCTGATTCAAAAGCACTTAACACCAACAATACTGTGGAGTCCTGTAGGATAAGCTCTGGACTGCTAACCGAGAGGTCAGCAGTTCAAATCCACCAGCTGCTCCTCAGAAACTCTCTACAGGGTCACTATGAGTCAGAACCGACTGCATGGCACTTAACAACAACAGCAATCTAGCCTGTGTCTATTGGTCACGTGTAAGTTTTGGCCCAGCATCCTGAAATGTTCCCCTGAGCATTCATGGTTTTCTGGTGAACAATTAGCATTGCAAAACATACAAAAAAATAAATTCTGAGATCTTTAATTATATTCCTCCCTTGCTTCCACAAGGAATCGTTCCCTTCTAATAATGTGCTTTATCTACTTTGATGTCTGAATTCACCGCCAATATCTCAGCATTTGTTTCCTTTCCTCTGACCCAGGTGACTAATCACAGGAGAGGAAAAGAGCTGTAAGAATTTTACCACATTGTGCAATTTTCTAATAAAACACAAGAGGGCAGGTTCTACTTTGTTTAAGCCTAATTCCACTTTGCTAGTAATCCGGATGGTCACTGTGCTAATTGCAAATTCTCAAAGGCTCTGTACACACCTAAAATGAACGTGTAATCAGGGGGTGTAGCTGTTGGTGAAATTTTTATTATTTTAATAAGGAAGGACAAGTGTGCGCCTTTTAACCTGGCATTACTTACAACACAGAACAATTCATTACTCTAGGAATAGTTCAGCTTATATTTATAAACTTCCAGAAGAGCAGAGACTGCCTCAAAGAGGATCAAATTCAGTTACTTTATGACTAAGAAGTGTGACTTGGATTGATGGAACAAATGGCATAAGTGAGCTACTGGTTTTTGACAAAAAGCTATTGTTGTTGTTAAGTGCTGTCGAGTTGGTTCAGACTGAGAAAGACTTTGTATAGCGTTTCCAAGACTATAAATATTCTCTGGAGCAGAAAGCCCCATCTTTCTCCCTTGGAGTGGCTGGTGGGCTTGAACCATGGACCTTGTGATTCTCAGTCCAGTGTTTATCACATGGAGCCACCAAGCACCCCAAAAGATGTAGTCTAGATAAAAAATATATAGAACATACAGACTTTGATGGAAACCTTATATTTTTCTTTATTTACTTTATTTTAGAAAATTCTGATTTATTTTGCAGTTCACAACAGTCTCATGTTATTTTCAAAAATTTATTCAACTACCTACCAAAGCCTAATGAAATGCACAAAAGTTATTTTTAGCTTGACCATTCATTGTCATTAAAGTCAAAGTAGCTGAGCCATTTTTGAAGACCTATTGGGCCCAGCAACCAAAGGCGCAGCCGGCTTGGTTTTTCTGGCTGAGTCACTTACCACTAACTCCGTTTGCAGAAGCAAATCTTTCGGGACATCAGCCTTACTCTTGATGTCCAGGTACCAGATTTGAGCCAATGAAATTGGCTTTGAAATCTCAATAACCATCAACTTCTTCAAAGTGCAAGACGTCATAGTAAAGACCGCCTCATTCTTAGTTCTTATGTTCTGATGATTGCTTAGAAAAATATAACCATTTAAATCTGCAGGATTCTAGCCTGTGCAGATGATTTGCTTTTAAATGATTGAGACTTTATTGATTAATACTCATAAATAACTGTCAGTACAGTGCAGCATTAATGAATCTAAAGTCAACTCTTAAAAGCAAGCCAAATGCATTCTATGTGAAGAACTTTTGTGTAAGGCTACCTAGTCAGAGTTGTTGTTGTTGTTAAGTGCTGTCGAGTCGATTCCAACCCATATCGACCCTGTACAGGGTTTCCGAGGGTGTAAATCTTTACGGGAGTAGAAAGCCTCATCTTTCTCCCGCGGAGCGGCTGGTAGTTTCGAACCGCTGACCTTAAGGTTCGCAGCCCGATTCGTAACCACTACGCTACCAGAGCACCTAGTCAGAGTAATGGGACTATAATCAAATTGGCTTACAGCCAGCTGAAAGCCTCTGTACTCCATGTTGTTGTTGTTGTTGTTAGTGCCGTTGAGTCGGTTTCGACCCATAGCGACCCTGTACAGGGTTTCCGAGGGTGTAAATCTTTACGGGAGTAGAAAGCCTGATCTTTCTCCCGCAGAGCAGCTGATAGTTTCGAACCGCTGACCTTAAGGTTCGCAGCCCAATTCGTAACCCTTTTCTAATCAGGCTTCCTGAGAAGAGTGACTCTAATAGGTCCTTGCATGGTACAAAGAGTTTGCACTCAACTAAGAACTCCTGGTGTGGTGCTATAGCACTGAACTGCTAAACACAAGTTCAGCAGTTCAAATCCACCAGCTGTTCCTCAGAAACCCTATATAGACTCAATGACATGTAACAACAACAACTAACCTATGGTTAGCAGTATGAACCCACCCAATGGTGCCTTGAGAGAAAGGTCCAACCATTTGCTATTGTCAAGATTACAGTGAAGAAAATATGGATCACACCTCTGGAAATATAAATCACTACCGTGTTTGTGCAAAATACTTTGGTCATATGTTTCATGACACATAGCCTAGCAAAATTACATGAAACAATTAATACTGAGCAAAGTGTCAGGAGATTCTATAAACATCAGAAATTGACCTTTGTGGTGGTAGTGTTGTTTTTAATAATAAGAAATTGAATAATTTAAGATTTTAATGAGAGGGACCTAGTTGAATTTAGATACATCTACAAAATTAATACTATGCAGCAATTAAAAATGATACTGCTTTATATTCATGGGAATGGAGATATATTCAATGTATTCATGTATAATTTTAGTAAAAAAGCAGATTTTAATGTAAAAAAAAGAAAATATGGATCAATTCTACCCTATAACACATGGGATCATCATGAATCTGAATTGAAAGGCTGCAACAGGTTTTTTGTTTTTTGGGTTTTTTGTTTTTTTGCATTTTGTTTGTTTTTTGCTATACTTGTTAATAGGTTCAAAATAGTATATTAATTAACTAGAAAATGATAAATTTCATTCTCTCATCTATTTATTGATTACTATAGGACCAATGTTTCTCCAGTTACTGAATCTTATGATAAATCTACTGTTAAAAAAAAAAAAAAAAAGTAGACTTTAAACAAATTCTGTAAAGTCTAATTGTCAAAAGAAAACTGAGTGGATCATTTATTCATTCAATTCCCATCCTCTAACCATATGTATTTTAATTTATCAAGAACATTTTAAAGGCTGGAGAGTGACAAAGAAAATTTTAAAAAAATATAAAAGGAAGTTCCAGGCAGATAATCAGGAAGGACACCTAAAAGCAGATATGGTGGTGGTGGTTATGTGCCGTGGAGTCGGTTCCGACTCATAGAGACCCTATACAGGGTTTCCTAGGCTGTAAATCTTTACAGGAGCAGAAAGCCTCATCTTTCTCCCACGGAAAAGCTGGTAGTTTATATATTTATAGCTAAAAAGGATCTAAGCGATACCACCTACCACCCCCCAACCCCCACACCTTTGGTAATAAAGAAATTTAGGCTAAAGAAGATTGAATCATGAGCTTGCTCAGATCTCAAATTACAATGACTTCCAAATTTAAATGAATTCAATGATGTAGTGTTCTCAAAACACACATAGGCTTAATCAATATGAGGCAGTAGCATCAGATACCACACATTGTGACCTCTAATTTTATTTGATGCTAGAAAGAGACACAAACAATCTAGCTTGAGTTTGTTAAACCAACAAACAAACCAGAAACTATAGCTAAGCATTTTCTGCATTTGGAATCGTCAGCACAAGAGGAGGATGTATACCAGAGACCTTCAAGTAAAGGAGAAAGAGTGAGGATTGATTTCATCATTATCGCGGCAAGAATGTTGGTCCGGCCATGTCTCCTCTAGGGTAAGGCCTTCCACATGCTAGGCTTCTTCCATGTATCTCTTGTTGCTTAGTTGTGTCTCCATTAGGGGTGTATAACCTCTGCGATGTCTTCTATACTGAAGAAGAAAGAGCAACACAAAGACACCAACCAAAGCCATCAACACTCCTATAACTACCAAGAAAGTTAGGGTCCAACCGGGAATTTCTTCTGTTTCTGCGGCTGAAATTATAGCAAAAGAGAAGGGTCTCCAATCAGAATTTCCATTAGTTGAATGCTCTTAGGAAAGAAAAGAATAAACCAATTTGCTTTTCACAGGCATTTTGGATGACAAAGCAAAACTATTCTTGCTAGAATAAAATTTATCTTTTCTTTCCTTACCAACTATTTATCATATTCATAATTGTTTTTCTTGAGGAGGCTGGAACTGGGATGTCATTATTTAAATACAGCTTATTGTATTTAACGTTTTTTTTTTTTCTTACAATACTTACATAGAATAAACCCTCTGAGGAAGTATATAACTATTTTTGTGAGTTAGAAACACATTTGTAAAAATGCATATAAAAATGGTATCTGGGGAACTGCAAACTACGCAGCCTGAGGTGGAGAAATTCTGCTACTGTCTCTACCTGTTTTATAGGGTTAGAAATGGCAGACAGAGGTGAGATAGGCTTTTATGACAGGAGACACCCAATAACAGAAGCAGATGGCATGTGTACTCATTTAAACCGTTACAAAAAAAAAAATCTGAATCTTCCACATGATAAATCCAATCCTCAACTCAAAAACATCTTATAAGACCTCTTTGACAAAATTAATGGATCTCATTTTTTTACTATAGTTATGCCTATTTATCATTTCTTTCTTTAGACATTTTCTTTTCTTAAGGCAGACATTTTTAAATACAATTCTCTGAGCAGGGTTCTTGTTTTGCAGCAGTTATCTAAGGGTGAGTTTCTCCTTCTAGTTCTTCCCTTTCATTGTCACTGAGGGTCCTGATGGGTGGCCACCAGCAGCACAGTGTTGATCTTCTTAAAGCACACGTTTCTATTCTAATTATTTCTTTGTTCAAGAACCAAAAATGATTGCCTCTTCTGCCTCACTTTTTTTTTAATGTATCATTCTGGAAGTTGCAATGCTATTCATTCTTTTTTGGGAGGTTGGGGGGACTTTTTATTGTGACTTGAATGAAGGTTGACAGAACAGATCCTCATTTTCACATCCAACACATCTCACACTTTGTTTCATCTCAATGATTGCAATCCTTTCCATGTAACAACAGTTATCCCACTTCCTCCCTGTAATTCCAATTTCCATTCCATCCTCCTTCCCAACCCCTCTGAGCTTTGTCCCCAGATAAATGTCACCCTTTTTATCTTGAATTATTGACCATTCATCAATACCTCATCAGTGTTGGTGTACCCCCTACCTACTGCTTGGCTGAACATTGGGCCACAAGGATAAGTTCTGGTCCAGACCTGAAAGTAGCCAAGGGCCATAGTCTCTGGGTCTTCCAGTCTCTTTCTGACCAGTAAGCCTGGTCTTTTTGATAATTTTGAGTTTTGTTCTGCATAGACTTCCCCTCTGTCAAGGGCCTTCTAATGTGATTCCTTTCCAGAGAAGTTGATAGTGGTAGCTGGGTACCATCTAGTTCTTCTGGTCTCGGAGTCATGGTGCCTGATGTTCACACATTCCATTGGTCTTCTGGACGAGCTGATGCCAAGCATCTTCAATTTCCATTACTCGTCTTTCTTCCGCACATGGAGAGACCACTTTAGACAGACATTCATGAGCTTTTAAGATCCCAGTCTCTGCTTCACTTTTAAGGTCCTCCATAATCAGATCCAACCTTAATTCACAGTAATCTTCGACACAAACTTTCCACTGCAAGCAGGCGTCTTCTCACAGGCTCCTGAAGAGACCACATTTGCCTTTGTTCTAAGGAGTCCTGATGATGCAGTGGGTTAAGTGTTGGACTCTGATCACAAGCTACAAGGTTCGACTCCAGCAGCCACTCTGTGGGAGAAAGATGAGTCTGCTATGGTAACGATTTTGTAGTCTTGGAAACCCTATGGAGAGTTCTACTCTGTCGTATAGAGTTGCTATGAATAAGAATCTACTTGAAAGCAGTGGGTTGGCCTTGGTTCGGTTCTCCAACCTTCTTTCTTCTGTAATACTCCATTGTTATCTTGTCCCCTGCCAAAAATCCACCAATTCTTTGAATCTAATACAAGCCCCACCTTCTTCAAGCAGCTTTTCCCAAACTCCTTATTCCTTTCTCTACCTTTTGTTTATTTATATTTTCTCTCACAGGACTATAAATTTCTTTGTCAAATCAATAAATAATGTGAACGTGTGTCTTCCATTGATTTTACAAATCCTGGGTGTATTTCAGCCCTTGGTTTATTATTGACAATTGATGTCAGAGAGGAAAGCCTGGTCAGGATACACATTCTAAACTTTTTATTTTATTATTTTAATTCCAGACAAAAGAGAGGGAAGATGTTTACAAGGTATGTCCTCAACCACTTAAAGGAATGAAATTTCAGATCAGTAAGGAGAACAAGTAAAGTAGAAGGGAAAAAACTGAGGATCGTTATCAGGGCCTGAAATACTTTGGAGTCAGAAAGTGATTCACAAAAGGTCAGAAAAATGTCTTACCGACTTTGTAGACTGAGATTTAAGGAAGAAGAAATGGACACAAATGGAAATAGATACAAATAGGGAATGTCACCAGCAGAGAGTGTGTGTATTTTTAGAGTCTTGATAAATTAGATTCTTGTTTGTTTTACTTTTCCATTCTCAAGTTGTCCTGACACACTTGAATGTCATATTGAGCCATATAGGGGCCTGGACAAAAAGCAAACTGTGTGTCCCCATATCCACTTCCTTACAGGAGTCCTGTGTGGCACTGTAAGATGAGCATTTGACTGCAGACTGCGAAGCCAGCAGTTCTAACTCACCAGCTATTCCTTCGGAACCCTATACAGGGCTCTATATGAGTCAGAACCAACCAACTTGATGGCACTTAACAACAAATATACACTTAAGTGTAGATAGCACAAACGGTTTGTGTCAAACTATTAACCTAAAAGTTGGCCATTTGAATCCGTTAGGAGCGTAATAGAAGAAAGCATGGTGATCTATTTCCATAAAGATTAAAAGAGATAATAAGCATGTTGCCATTGAGTTGATTCTGACTCACAAACAACCCCATGCATTTCCGAGTAGGACTGAGCCCCGGAGGGAAGTGTTGGCTATACGCTTTACAAAAGCACATTGCCAGGTCTTTCTTTCATGGCACTGCTGGGTGAGTTTGAACCAACAACTTTTTGATTAATAATAGCCCAGTACAAACGGCTTGTGCCACCATAAAGATTATATAGCAAAAAAACAAAAACAAAACAAAACAAAAAAAACCATTTGGAACAGAATATGAAATCAACTTCACAGCAGTGTGTTAGACTGATACCCACTTATCAAAATAGTCTCCAGTATTTTGAACCAGATTAGAAAGGCTAACCAAAACTCTATATTTAGAAATAAAGACTTTATATAAAACCCTTCTGGTGTCCAATCTGTTGGCAAGGTAAGTTCAACCTCATCAGAAACACACTGGTGGCGAATGTACTTATTGGCTGTTTGGAAGGAAACCCAGCAACATAGTTTAGTATAAAACAAGCAAAGGCCAATGGCCCATCTGCGTTTAAAACTTTGGTAGTTTCCCCATCATGGGTTTTGTTGGGGCTCGTTAGCATTCATTTTGATATGTTAAAATATCACATTGTATTATGACTGATCTTGATGACTGTTTTATGGCATCCCCTTTCAATTTTGTGCTCTGGGCAAGTACTATACTTATTTCACCCCACTGCAGCCCTATTTTCAAGCTGCTGTTGCTGTCTCCTCAGCTCCTGACTCATGGAGGCCCGACATGTTCCAGAGTAGAACTGCTCTTTAGGATGTGCAGTAGGTGTTGGGTTGTTAAGCTTGAGGTCAGCGGTCTAAACCCACCAGCTGCTCCTTAGGAGAAAGATAAGGCTATCTGCTCTCATAAAGATTTACAGTTTAAGGTCAGCAGTTCGAAACTACAAGCTGTTCTGTGGGAGAAAGATAAGGCTTTCTGCTCCCATAAAGATTTACAACCCTGTACAGGATCGTTATGAGTTGGAAGCAACTCCATGGCACATAACCACCATATATATATACAGACCCACATAGAGTCACTGAGTCCTAGTGTGACGCTGTTGGATAAGCACTGGACTGCTAACCTCAACGTTGGCAGTTCAAACCTACCAGCTGATCTCAGAAACCCTATACAGGGTAGCTATGAGCTCGAACCAACTTAAAGGCACACAACATATCGTCGCTGTGAGTTGGAATTGACTCCTTGGCGGTGGGTTGGGTTGGATTTAGTTGATATTTACAGAAGCAGTGTGCTAAGCCTTGCCTCTGTGGAGCGCTGGGTAGATTTTAATTACTGTCCTTTAACTTGCAGTCTATGGCAAACCAATTGTACCTGAAGGTAACTTCAAGTAATCGTCTCTAAATCCTGCTGGTTCCTTTCCACATCGGGCCATCTCAACTTTTTTTTTTCCATAAGGAGTTATTTATTTATCCAATTAATTCTGATAAAATTGTCAAATCAGGTGTAAAAAGAGATACTCCCTTAGTAACTCTTGTTTTCTTAAACAACTGCCCATCAGTCCCTTGCTGGCAATTTTATGGCTCATTTTTGCCATTTACACCTATTCTAGAAAATGACCAGTAAACTAAATTATCCCCAAAAATTTCAATGAAAGGTTTTGGTTTACATGAAAAAAGGAAAGGAAGGAAAAGAGAACGGAAGTAGTGATGAGGCAGGGGGAAGTGATAAAGGATAGGACGGAGAAAGAGAAGCAGACATGGAAGGAAGGAACAAGTGGAGGAACTAAGGAAATCAGGAAGGAAGAGAGCTCCTTTAGAAGAGAAACAAGCCACGCAATTTACAAATGGTATTAGTTACCTGTCAAGTCAATGGCGTAGTTGTAGCCAAGTTGGTCTGCTGTTAGAAAGAGTTCCTCATTAGTTACTGGGGGGAAGAAAGGAACCATGTTATACATCCGATTGTGACCAATTGGTGCCAACTCCTGAGGCCAGGCATCAACATCAGGCGTAAATCTTTTCATCCACTCATCAAAAATGGCATCAGTAAAGGAATGAAGGACCTGGAAGATAGTTGAACACAGTGCTTAACATGGGTTGCTCTGCTTCAATCAGATTCTCAAGCTTTCTAGAAAATGGAATGGGAGTCTTTTTTTTTTTTTTTTTTTTATAAATTGAGTGAAGGCCTACTGAGCAGATCTTGAGTTTGACAGTCAACAAACTTTACACTTCGCTTCATTACTTGATAGCAATCACCTCCATGTACCTGCAGTTAAAAACATTTACCTCTGTTCCTTTTAACTAATGCATTCATCCCTGTGTTTCCCACTACCCTCACCTTTCCTCTGCTAACCTCCCTCTTGTTGAATGTTACCTGCCTGTTATCCATGTTAACATGTGTCTACCATCTAGCTCAAGAATAACTTTCCCTTCCCTTCCCCACACATAACCATCAGAGACTGTTTCTTTTATCAAGAAAATCTTTTTGTAACTCTTTACCACATAGGTCTCATACAAAGTTTGTCCTTTTGTGATCGACTAATTTCATAATGTCCCCCAGGTTCAACCATGTTGTGAGGTGGTTCACAGATTCATCATTATTCGTCACCATTTTGTAGTAATCCATTGCATGTATGTAACAAAATTTGTTTACTCATTCTTCTGTTGATGAGCATTTAGGCTGTCTCCATCTTTTTGGTGTGTCTCTTATAGACAGCATATTGAAGAATCCTGTCTTTTTTGTTGTTGTTGTTTTTATCCCTTCTGTTCTTTATGTCTTTTTAATTTTAAGGTACATTTAATCCATTTACATTCAGTGCAATTATCAATACATAAGAATTGATTATTGTCATTTTTCTGTGTGTGTGTGTTTGTGTGTGTGTGTGTGTGTGTGGTGCTGGTAGATGCTTTGTTCCACATAAGTTTCTATGCTGAGTTCATTTTGTTTGTGGGTTTTCTTTGCATTTTCATTCCTGTTGTATTCATGTTTACTAAATCTTCTTGCTTTTCCTCTTTTTTTATTTTGATGTGTAGGTGTATTATTTTTCTTTGAGGTTGCTCTGTGGTTTGTTAATTTTTCCCCTGCTTAAAATAGTCTGTTTTACCTTGAAAGACACTTGACTTCCTTGCCACATGGAAGTTCTCTGTCTATACTATTCCTTCTTTTTGCTTTGTAGTTGACTTCATTATACATTGAATACTAGTTCCCTCTTTTCAGTCTTGCAGGTTTTACTTTAAATACTTCTTTATCTGGATTGAGTTTAATTATGGTATGTTTTAGTGATTTTCTTTTGGGAAATATCCTGTTTGGGATTCCTTCAACTTCTTATACACTTATCTTCTCATCTTTCATGATGTTAGGGAAATTTTCTTCCAACTCTTTGGCAATTTTCTCTGTGCTTGTCTCTTCCTGTTCTGGAATTCCATAAGTTGTTCCTCTTCATGGTGTCCCATATAACTCTTAGGATTTCTTCAGATTTTTTTGTTCTTTTTTTCTGTTTGTTCTTCTACCATACTAGTACTGAGAGATTTATCTTCAAGCTCACTAATTCCGACTTCCATTGCTTTGCATCTACTCTTTTGCTGTATTGTTCATTTCTGAGATCTTAGTATTAATATTCTGGATATCTACTTGCAAGTTTTGTATTGTTTCAAATTTTGACTTTATTTTGTTGGATTTTTTCTTGTATTTTCCTGTATTCTTTAAAAGTTTTTTTTTTTTTTTTTTCAATGTTCTTATTCCTTTCCTTGATCTTTCTATTGATCCTTTGAAGGTACCTAATTAACATTAGTTCCATGACCTTTTTTCTCTTAGAAACATTTTCTGGCTTTACGTCCCAGTCATTTGTTTGTGCCATTCTCAAGTTTTTTCATATGAGATAAAATTGTCTGTTGTCTCCAGGGTATTTTGTGGGTTTGTCATAGTTGTAAAAACAAACAGTGCAATTTGGATCTGGAGGAAATCTCTGAGGTACTCTTGCAATTCAAGGAGCTCAAAGGGTGGCTGTGGAAGGGATGTGACAGTAGAGTTTCTAGCTCTAGATGGAGTTCCTACTGGCCTCAGTGTTATCCATGTTCAGGGCACTCAATCTGGAAGTAGCTCATAGGGGTACTTGATGGAGCTGCTTCCAGTGTCTGTTAAGACCCCAGGGAAACTGGAGGCAGCATAACTGGTTAAATGCTGGTCTGTTGGTTTTATGGGTTTTATAAGTCTGGAGCTGAGCCAACCGAAATTCAAGCATCAAAGCAGCACACTAAAGTGCTACAGTCAGCCCACACCTAACACTGGTGTGGCTCCCAACCACGCAGCTCCAAACTCCTGGAGAGCAAGGTCTGTGCTAGGGGTGGATGAGGGTGGGAGTTGGCCACACTCCTGGTCACCAGGGAATATTTGAGAAAAGATGAAATCATATCTTTTCTATCACCAGTGCAAATCTGCTCTGCAGGCCTCCCTCTACTGTCAAAGCTGCTCACAAGATGGTCGAGACACGTCATCAGTTTCCCTCTCTCCCCATCCCTGCTCAGCCTCTCCTCCCAGTAAGCATGCCATCCTCCTCTCTAACCTTTCTTCTGAAGTTCAGGGTGCCAGAATTTTCCTCTGTTGTCTGTCTTATTTTGTCTCTTGTGTCTTTGTTGAAGAGGACCTGTATAGTGCATCTACCTAGTCCTCCATCTTCCCGGAAGTCTGGGATTCTTCTTGACACAGAGCATTTCTATGTATCTATTCTAAAGGAGCTCTGGTAGCATAGTGGTTACAAGTCGGGCTGCGAACCTCAAGGCCAGTAGTTCAAAACTACCAGCTGTTCTGCAGGAGAAAGATGAGGCGTTCTTCTCCTGTAAAGATTTACAGCCTCAGAAACCCTGTACAGGGTTGCTATGAGTTGGAACTGACTCCACAGCACATAGCCACCACCACCAGGTGTAATGGTGAACAGACGAATGAATTCCTTGAATGAATATTTATTGAAATTAGTCCCCCTGTTCCATGTGACAGGCCATGAAAAGCAGACACTGTGCCTGAGTTTCTGAGCTTACAGTCTAGGCAATGAAAGGACTCTAAGTGCCAGACATAAATGCTGAGCTGAACTTTCATGCATGCATCCTGTTGCAAAATCAAGCCTATCGATGTGGAAACTTTACTGTTAATATTTAAAAACATGTAATAATTACTGTATTTGAAAAGAGCTTTTACAACTTCCTTGAGAAAATAAAAATGACTGCTATGTGCATTACAACATTTTTAGACTTTCTTTTGCTGGCCAAAGACCAAGAATTCAGAATGAGAGAGTTATAAAATGAACAGATGAAAGAGAGGGGAAATCCCCACTTCAGAGATTTTCTTTCTTTGACTGTTCTGTGGATTATAATATTGGTAAATGCAACCTCTCTTCTTTCTCTTCTCATAAAACTAAAGAATCTAAGTATTGACTAACATATCTGTCTCTTCACACTTGTCCTTTCTCTGAAAGAAATAAATTAGCAAGTATTTACTGAAGGCCTCAAAGGTGCTTATACTGATGCTAAACCTACAATGTGGTACACCTGGTACACTCCCCAATTATACCGATTGCCATTGAGTTAACCATGACCCATGGCAACCCCATGTATATCAGAGTAGAACTGTGCTCCATAGCTTTCAATGGCTGATATTGTTGGAAATAAATCACCAGGCCTTTGTCCACAGTGCCCTGGGGGAACTTGAAACTCCAACTTTCTGTTCAAAGTCTCATGTGCTAATTGTTTTCACCATGTAGGGACTTCACTTCCCCTCACAGACCTCTAACTCCTTAGAGAGAAGGTCTTTTCACCAATGAAGTCTCAGGCTTAGCTTGCTAGCTGGATAGAGTCTATGCCTAGTAAGCATTTGTTGGTTGATGGCAGTGTTAAGCAAAGTAGTTTTATCTATATAGTCTACCTTCATTCAGTTGCTTTCCTATATATCTAGATCTATCATCTATCTATTATCTGTCTATATTTCAATCTATATGCCTATCTAATCAGTCTGTCTAGCTATCTATTCAATGTTGTTGCAGCTTTTAAATGCCATTGAGTTGCTTCCAAGTCATCACGGGCTTATGCACAAGAGCATGAAGCACTGCCCAGTCCTGTGCCAGCCTCACAATTATTGTTATATTTGAGCCCATTGCTGCTGCCACCATGCCAATCCATCTTATTGGGGTCTTCCTCTTTTTGGCTGACCCTCCACTTTATCAAGCATGATGTCCTTCTCCCTTCTTATAATATGCCCCAAGTATGCAAGACAACGTCTTGCCATCCTGGGTTCTAATCAGCATTCTGGCTATACCTCTTCCAACACAGATTTGTTCAGTCTTCTAGCAGTCCATGGTACTTTTAATATTCTTCACCAACACCATAACTCAAGTACATCAATTCTGCTATGGTCTGCTTTATTCATTGTCCAACTTTTACATGCATATGAAGCTATTGAAAATGTCATGGCTTGGATCAGGTGCACCTTAGTCCTCAAACTGACTAAGCTCTTGAGCACTTTAATGCTCAATAATTCCTAGTAAAACAGTAGAATGGTTTAGGCTTTGTTGTACAATTCAGCCCAAATGATCCCTTTCGAATTGACGTTTCCAACCGTCTGTGATAGGATAATATCCATGCTCCTACAGGGAAGCCCAGTTAATACCACTGTTATTCAAATTTATGCACCAAACACTAAAGCCACTGAGGATGAAATAGAAGAATTCTACCAACTTCTTCAATCTGAAATTGATCAAACATGCAATCAGGATGTATTGATCATTAACTGGTGATTGGAATGCAAAGGTTGGGAACAAAGAGGAAGGATCAGCAGTTGGAAAGTATGGCCTTAGTGATAGAAATGATGCTGGAGAATGCATGATAAAATTCTGCAAAATCAATGATTTGTTCATTTCAAATACCTTTTTTAGACAGCATTAAGAGATGACTATACACATGGACCTCACTAGATGGAATACATAGAAATCAAATTGACTACATCTGCAGAAAGATATGATGGAAAAGCTCCACATCATCATTGAAAACAAGGCCAGGGGCAGATTGTGGAACAGAC